CAGTTAACGATCTCTACGGCGTATTCAGTAACGCAAGACACGTTACAATATATATCAGAAAGTTTCACAACCCCATCTGTACGACGGTCAGCAATGTTTATCCATTGTGATGTCCCTACTTCAAAACCGCTTAATGATATTCGGTACTGAGTTCGTTATTTTTACTATGCAAGTGTTCCATGTGGTTACGTGTTTCGTAATCACGTAACACCATAGAGCAGCATTCACGTGACGCACTAAATGTGCCCTAAATCACTGCTGATATCAGAGTTCAGCTTTCAGAGAACTGAGTCCAGTTTGCAGTACCAGTTTAGAGGCTCTTCTGAAAGTGCAGCTAGAGAAAGTGAGAAGCAGGATAGCAGGAATGTTGTATGCATTTCAGTGCACGTTTTCCCTCTAAACTGTGTGTGCAGAACAAGTTTGATAATTCTGATGCCCTGAAGATACGAATTCAATAATCCAGTGAAAGGTTTATTGGCAGAAATTGTGCATGCTGTAACTTTCTCTGAACTGCATTCATTTCTAGAAATCAGAACTTCGATTCTCTCCCGTTACAGAAAAATACTTCGAGGACTCTATAATATGTAATGTTATATTTATTGAAAGAAATAACACACGCCAATTGTATCCGATCTTTGTGGTCACGATAACTCAGTCGATACAGTGACTAACCTAGGGCTGGAAGGGACTTTTCTTTCCGCCATTGCTTTCAGACCTGATCTGAGGCCCACCCACTCTCCCATACAATGGCTATGAGGCACTCTTCCCCTGAGTAAAGCTACCGAGGTTAATGCGTGGAGCTATGCCACCACTCTCCGATTAGTCTTCATTTTCTGATGGTTTAATTAAGCGAAGAGGCAATATCAAGTTTAAGTCTTTAGTACGAAGCAGGAATATTACGCCTGGCCCCATTCCTATGGCAAAGGATGGACATTACACAGTCGCTTGCTTTTGATCGTTTACACAAACGAATTTCATCACCGCTCCAATATTAATTTGAAAATACAGCCAGGATTTAATGACTAAGCACAAGGTGACTGTAGCAGTAACGCTTCTGATTTGTATTCGTGATATATTCAATTCGAATCCCGACGGGTTCCCTCACTGTGTTGACTGGGATATTTCTTGTTTTTCCTCAGAGGAATACTAGGTTAGTACCTCTAACTAGGCAACGACCGATTTCTTTCACGTTCTTTACAATGAATCAAATTATCCTATGATTGACGCTATGAAATCTGAGCTACAGACAGCGTTATTAAATAAACAATAATAAAAAAGTTTTTATCATTATAATTTACGGTACATTAGTGGCTCCACGTAGGGAGGATTATTGAAACTAGAGCAGACAGCATCGCATGTGTTAAGTGGCTGTGGTTCTGTGCCCGAGGAGGTACACACAGATCCACATTCGCAACTCAGAAAGGAGATTCGCCTAACAGGCCGTACGGTAGAGCGGTATATGCCTGTTTTCTCTTTGTTCAACCCATCGTCGAGTTCTTAGCGTGCTCACGTCATTACCTCTGGCTGGTTCCGGTTTCAAAGTGAAACAAATATTGGCATGCGAAATAATTGGCAATTACTTATTCAATTCGCAATCAGAATTGAATACAAACTGGGTACGCCTTAGTAAGCCAACCCAGGGACCAGGGCTTGTGTAACCCTGTCAGACCCTGAACACATAGTGGAATAGAAGAATATAAAGAGGAGGTAAAAATAAAGTTGTCCCTGTGCTTAATTAATTAAGCACTACGCCATGAAGGCGTATGGGTGAGTGGAGGTGTAGATCCACATTTTATTGACCTCGGCACTAGTTGGAGGTGAGTGGTGAGCTTCACGCCCCGGCCGCTTTACCCCGGTACCCAATGTATAGGAGGTTGAGTGGACCCCAGATTGGAGAACTCCTCCCCCTCTGTCGTTCAGCCCGTAGCCAGTCGCTATATCGACTGAGCTATTATAAAGAGGAGGAGAAAAGGAAAATTAGAAGACACAGAAGAGTGGGCGAAGAGAAGGGAACAGAGGAGGGGAAGGAACTGAAACGAGAGAAGAGAAAGAAAGGAACATTTTATTTTTGTTCCAATTCTAGCGCGACGCGAAAAGAATCTTTTATGTCCCATGATCACCAGAAGCTATCAAAGCTCTGGTCTAGAGGAGTCGGGATAGCGACGGGCTGGACGGCCCGGTTTCGATTTCCGGCAGAGAAAGATTTTTTTCTCTTCTACACAGTGTCCAGACTGATAATGGGGCCCACCCAGAGGGTGGGAGGAATAGCGGCCGGGGCTATACCTCCATTCCCCCATACGCCTTCATGGCGTAGCGCTTAATTAATTAAGCACAGGGACAACTTTACCTCACCTGATCTTGATACTGACAGGCGACTTCAAATGTCATTATTACCGATGCGTTCCCCGAGGGTTAAAGCAGCAGAGACGTGAAGCTGATCACTCACCCCTGTCTAGTACTGAGGGCGTGGTGCTGAATTAATTACATGTAGATTTGCTTGTGTCTGTTTCAGACCGCCGTATTCACAGTGATAGTACTGCCGGTCAGAGTGCTAGCAATTCTCCTGCTGCTAATGATGGCTTGGATTCTGGCCTGTGTCGGCCTCATGGGACTCTCAGAGAAGGAGCTCCGGCAGCGCCCTATAACGGGGTGGAGACGGTAAGTACTAAACCTGCTGTCTTAAATGCAACACGCGACACTTCCACGTCAACGGGAGATTTACGTCCCTATTTTCGCAATGTTAATGCGGATTGCCGAGTAGTCACAAGTTCTGCAGTTGTGAAATGTCGTGTTTCTCTGTATATCGTGATATTTGTACACTTATAACTTTGCCTATGGTTTTGTATTAGTGCGAAACTTGGGCTCTTACATTAAGGCATGAACATAGACTGAGGGTGTCTGAGAACAGGATTGTGAGGAGAATGTTTGGGCCAAAGAGGGACGAAGTGACAGGAGGTTGGAGAAAAATACATAATGAGGAACTTAATAACTTTTACTCTTCTCCAAGTATAATTAGAATTATCAAGTCAAAAAGGACGAGATGAGGGCATGTAGCACGCATGGAGGAGAAGAGGAATGCATATAGTAATTTTGTGGGAAAGCCAGGAGGAAATAAACCACTAAGAAGACAGACGTAGGTGGGAGGATAATATTAACATGGATCTTAAAGAGATAAAATTGGGTGGTATGGACTGGATTGATCGGGCTCAGGATAGGGACTAGTGAAGGGCCCTTGCGAACACGTCAATGAACTGTAAAATGTTGGGAAGTTCTTGAGTAGCTGAGCGACTGGCGGTTTCTCAAGAAGAATTCAGCTCCTTGAAGTTAATTGTATTGTTAATTATAATGTTTTAAATAAAGCACGCCTTTTATACGTCCGAAAACAAAATACTTAATACTTTCATACCTTCCGTGTTAGAGATGTAAAAATATATTCCTTTCTCTGTGAATAACATCAGAATACAAGAACAACGTCTCATGTATCTGCTATATTTCCCAAGAGAAACGTGAATATATTCACAAAGAAAATGTTATAGGAAAATGTCCGTCGAGGTATCATACTTCCTTAATTAGCTGACTGATGTCAGGACCATTTAATTTATGACTTAAAGTAATTCATGTTACTCTTTTCCTATAATAGTTTAAAGCGGATCAGAATTAAAAAACCTAACATTTGTCACCCAAACCTCCCCGCTGCCCGTTGAATTTGATGTTCTGAAAATGGTGATTCTGTTCCGGGGTGGAAAGCCATGTAGTCCGGTAGACGTTCATCGACGTTTCGGTGGGAAGTATTGCCTCCATCTTCAGGTTAACAAAGTAAGCCAAGCAACCAACAAGAATAAATTAGAGCGAGGTCCCCTTGCAGCTTATTTCTTGCTGTTGCGTCTTTGGCTTCGACTCTGAAGATGGGGGGGGGGGGCCCCAAAAATTCTTTGAATTTCTACCGCGATACACGGCATCACATGCATTCCATCTTACTGTCTCCCTTTAACGCGGTTTACAATTACACTACCAACGCTTATTCCATTCGGCAACTACTAGGGCTCAACAGCCCTTTTCAGTTTCTCAGTCCTATAGAGAGACAGTAGGCCTCCTTGGACGGGGGATCAGCCCTGCACACAGAACAACACAGACATCCATGCCTCGAGTGGAATTCGAACCCACGATCCCAGCGTTCGAGCGGACGAAGAGGGTTGAAGCCTCTGGCCTCGCGGCCGGCCACTGTGATCGGCAGTTCGGTAACTGCTGGAGATAATTATCTTTGTGAAAGTGGTCTAATTGTCTAACCGTAGTCATGCTGTGCTCATATGCACGCAAATGTATGTTCTGATTGCGGTAAAAGGAAAGAGGCTGCAGGAGATCCTTCTCTGGTAGAAGTTTCATGTAACTAATCAATAGAAGTTCAGTGTACAGTTTAGGCTTTCTACAATAAGTTATGTAGAATGCTTGAGTGTTTCCCAGTGTTTATAGGAAACACTGTATTGTAGTTGTCAGCTTCACGGTCTTTGGGGCCGAAACATTGGGAAACCTTCAACAGCCTACACGGCATATGCCTGAAGGCTCTAAAACTTGTATTCCTTCGGGAAAGGAGCCCACAGGTACCAATCGGGTAGGAGGCTACATGGGACCTGGGTCCTATCAGGATGTTAATGAATTAATCACTACGCCATGAAGGCGTGTGGGGCAGTGGAATATATATCCACAGTTTCTTGACCTCGGAACTACCTGGATGTAAGTGGTCAGCTTCGCGCCCCAGAAGCTTTACCCCCAGGGGATAGCCCACGGTATCCATTGGATAGGAGGCTGGGTGGACCCCAGAACCGGTCAGGACCACGTGGGAAAGAGAAAATCCTTGCTCCCGTCGGGACTGGAACTCCGACCCCTCGTTCGTCCAGCCCTTAGCCAGTCTCTATACCGACTGAGCTATCCGGGCTCCGAGGATGTTAATGGTAACGACACAAATTTCACACTTGCATAAATCGAACAGCCGTGATCAATTTTGTAGCTATCCACTTTAGTGACTGGACTATATCCGTTTTAGAAATATTAACAGTGACAACTCTTCCAAAATGTCCCTTGTTTTGAACATATTATTGTTATTATTATTATTATTATTATCATCAGCATCATAATCAGAGCCGGGATAGCGCAGTCGGTATGGCGACTGGCTACGGGCTGAACGGCAGAGGAGTCGGTGTTCGAGTCCCGATAGGGGCAAGATTTTTCTGCTATCCACAGCGTCCAGACGGGCTCTGGGGTCCACTGAACTTCCTATCCAATGGATGTCGGGGTCTCTTTCCCCCGGGATAAAGCGTCAATGGTTAAGAATACGTGGATCCACTCCTCCATTAATTAGTTAAGCGCAGGGACAACTTCACCTTTTTTACATTTATTATTATTATATTCGGGAGTCTTGCATTCGGATTCACGGCCGAGACACCGTTCGCCCTGACTGTCTTTTAGTGATTTTCCTCATTCCCTCTAGGAAACAACCGCGACGGTGCCTTTAAACAGGCCACAACCGCCTCCTTCCAAACCTTTTCCATTTAGTCAGTCCTAGTATCTTTGTCGCTATGTGCTGTAGACACGGAGAGTGTGGTACACTATCCTACAAATGAGCATCAAAACTGGAAAATATTCTTGTAAAGTGATACATACACCTTTATGTCCTCGTTGCAGCTTATTACAGAATTCACACCTCAAGTACATGCACTTGTAACTGGCAGGAACTTGTCACTTCCAGTAAAACAAAAGCAGATAATGTTATCGCCAAGGTCTGCATATAAATACACTTACGGTACTGCAAAATGTATCGAGTTCCATATCATGAGGCGGAACTCCAAGTGGCAGTTATTGCTTTTGTTACGTAGTTTGACAAATAACTTTTCAGGAATGCGATTGCACAATCTTCGCAATCAGACACAATGAACTTAGCCCATCCCATATAGCCCATTAAAGTCACTGAACACGTAATGTTAGTCTAGTTGCAGTTGCAGTGGGCATGGCTACTGAACATGTAACGTTAGTCCAGTTGCAGTGGGCATGGCTACTGAACATGTAATGTTAGTCCAGTTGCAGTGGGCATAGCTACTGAACATGTAATGTTAGTCCAGTTGCAGTGGGCACGACTACTGAACATGTAATGTTAGTCCAGTTGCAGTATGCATAACTACTGAACATATAATGTCAGTTTAGTTGCAGCGGGCATGGCTACTGAACATGTAATGTTAGTTGAGTTGCAGCGGCAATTGTTACTGAAGATGGCTCACTTTAAATGGTCATTGTTACTGACATGTAATGTTGGTCTAGATATAGTGGGCATTGCCGTTGAAAGTGTATTGTCGAAAATTTCGACGCTTGGCGTTTCTAGGGTTAATTTAAGTAACATGTACGCCTTCTCATGAACAGAAATAATGCAACAGGAATTTCTATCAGGTCAAGTTAGTGAACTCGTGAGAATCTACTCACTCCCCTATTCCAGTTTCGTCCCTCGGTTTCACCAGCTGCTAATGAACCTGTTGTGTTACACATGGTATGCTATCGAATCATCAAGGCGAAAAAGAACATCTCGGGGGTGAAATGAGCACGATTATAACTACATGACGTAAATGTGGAGCAGATTCTCTTACTGGCACGGAAAATTAAACCGGTATCCACCGCCAGTAACCTTAGGAAATGAGGCTGTGGGCCCATCAGTACGAAAATTGTGTTTTTTTCTTAAGACCATGTCACGTCATATGAGTTACTAAGCGAATCCTACATAAAAACCTGTCCTTTTTATGTAAGTGGAACGCTTGCCAGTTTTCGAAGTCATCATGCTTTCCAATACTGGACTTAATTGAGGACTTTTACAGACATTAAAAAAAATCCTTCCAATTGTTTTAGTATCCTTACTCAGTGGTACCCTTCTCCTGTTTCGCAAGTTATTAATTTCCGGCCTTACATTGCTATTAACACCCGTTATATTTATGGTGCGAGCTCTCGGAGTTACGACTCGGAACCAAAATTTCCGTCAAGTCGAGGCCCCTTCCAAAATTTCCCACAACCAGAGTTCTCTACTCTGAATTAGAGGGGCTGGAGCTGCCGGATTTTGATAAAACGTTGAAATGCTGTTGTGGCTCGAATCGTCCTCTTAACGATTCATTTAATGCGCTGATGAAACGAAAAGCAACTCTTTAACGACCAGTAGCGAAAGATTAATATTCTTGATAGTCTGAATGTCCCTTTGCCTATCACAGTGACTGCGCGGTCTAAGGCATGAACTGTCTTCGCCCGCTCAAACACTGGGATCGTGGGTTTGAATCCCACTTGAGGCATGATTGTTTCTCTGTGCCTTGTGACGGGCTAATCCCTCGTCCAAGGAGTCCTACTGCCTGTGCAAAAGTCAAGAAAGTGAAAAAGCGCCCAAGGTCCAATAAAGGACCGTAGACCCACAGATAGACAGACTTTGACTTTGACTATACAGTAAAGTATGGTCGCTAGTCCCAAGGGAATCGGACTCAATGAAGACTGCGCTGGCGAGGGCCAGCAGCATATGCAAAGAAACCCACAATAACAAGATCGTAACTGTCAAACAGTAATAAATATCTAGTCATAAGCCCAAGACTGACTGACCGTCAGTGGCAATGTGACTTAGTCAGTTGATAGTTTAGTTCTAT